GAGCGAATGAACACTTTGTGTGTGTGTGTGTGTGTGTGTGTGTGTGTGTGTGTGTGTTTGACAGGGTGTAGGTGTATATCATATTCATTTGTAATTAATTTGTCATTTTTAACGTAGTATTTCAGATTTGTACTTGCCCTATTTATACTATTATTGTGAGCAACATATTTTTTTATGTAAATGTCATAGATAGATAGATAGATAGATAGACAGACAGACAGACAGATAGATAGATAGATAGATAGATAGATAGATTTACCATTTTAATTCCAACACAACAATTGAAAGTCCAATTCATTAAATTCACATACATTTTCCTCCAAGTGTCTCAATGCAAAATCAAACCTTTGATATTCCCATATAAAACCTCTTAAAGGGGTCATATGATGCAATTTCATTTTTTCCTTTCTCTTTGGAGTGTTACAAGCTCTTGGTGCATAAAGAAGATCTGTAAAGTTGCAAAGACTAAAGTCTCAAATCCAAAGAGATATTCTATATAAAAGTTCAGAGTCAGCCACACCTACCTAAAACGGCTCATTCTAACACGCCCCCACATATCTACATCACTATGTGGAAATATTAGCATAATGCCGCCCAAACGTGCACGCAAAGAAAGAAGGCGTGGTTTCAGAAACAGCAGTAGTGTTGATGCTGCCATGTCAGGGAGACGCTAAAACAATGTTCTTTTTAGCAGCATCATATGACCCCTTTAAAACTTGAAAGCTGCTAAAACTTAAAATTGCCCAACATTACATCTCTTTCTTTCTTCCATTTCACAGCCCACCTTTTTCCTCCTACATTCATCATTCATCCAAACCTCTCATTCTCATTCTCTTCTCCTCTCTTCCTCTCTTCTTTCCATCCCTAGTCCATGCCTCCCACTCCTTCTCCAATTGTACATATTCACTCCTGCTTTCGTCTGTCTGTCCATGCATCTCCCTATCGATCTGTCTATCATCTCTTTCCCCTATCCAACTTTATGTGGTTGGAGTGTGTGAATATTTACCTTCTCCCAGGTGAAATGATTCTCTCATAATGTTTTTATTGGCGGAAAGCCCGTCTGTACAATCTCTTTTCCAATATTTGCCTAATTCTCTCACCTCGGATTGCTCAATTTAATGAAATCTGAAATATAAAAAAGAAATCTTATTAGCGCAAGAACACACAATGCTAAAATCCACTGACATTTCAACCGAATACATAACGTAAGCCTTTCTGTTCTGTTCTCAAGGGCTAAAAGACTTGTGGTGGGGTCTATGTAATGCCACTTAATTAGGAGATAAAACCATACATGAACACACACCGTATCAAAAGGATACATACAGAAATTATGCCAAATAAAAAGAGCAATGAAGCCTTCTAAATCATAGTGATATTAATACATTGTAATGAATAATTTATAACAATGTTATAATAAACGTATATCAAAATTTAATTATAAGCCGCATAAAAATTATTAAAATACATTTTGGCCTTGGGAATGGGAATAAAATTGAGTAAGAGTGCAAGTATTCTGTTTATATATTAAAAAAAAAACTTAGATATTACATATTTTTGAAAATTGTAAGTACAAGTCATGCAAGAGTGTGTAATTTACATCTAATGTTTCACGAACACAAGTACCTTTTTATATTTATGACTTTTAAATGTAAGAACAGTAAGAAGGGAACACAATCACAGTAGTAATTCAAAGCGATGAGGCAAGATTATCCTGACTAATTTCATTGCAATTGCGCGTCCTCGCGCGCGTGTGTACACACACCACCCCTGCTGCTGGCATTCATCAACTATATTAATCAATGTGTCAGCCTTCAGTCCAATTAGATTAACTCTGTTCTACCTGTAAACACAACATTGCACTCACCAGCCAGATTCCAGAATAACTACATCATCCAAGTAAACAAAAGTCTCTAATAGAGACAATGTAAAAAATTAGAGCAACAATGCCAAGTTTTTGATCACTTGATATCCCATTGACATAAGAGGACATACAACCAACAAATCACAATGACTTCTGAAATCTCTTAAAGGGATAGTTAACCCAAAAATTGAAAAGTTGTTTCTTTCTTCTGCTGAACACGAAAGAATACATTTTGATGAATGGTGGTAAGCAAACATTCTGTATCGAAAATGCTAATGGCTACCGTCAACTGTTTGGTTCCCAACATTCTTCAACATTCTACAACTTGAGGGTGAGTAAATGATGACAGAATTTTTTTTTCTGGGTGAACTATTCCTTTAAGGCTGTGACACACCAAACCAAAAACAAAGAAAGCTGATGAAAGCTGATTGTGTTGTCTCGTACCTCATGTTTTAGCTTCTGAATTTGCACCTAAACACTGCGATAACTACAGCCAAAATCTAACTAGCACATAGGTTCTGCGCTTGAGAAAATAGCTATCTACATTAGCTAGTGGAATACTTGTCATTCCAGTCAAGTTAAGAATATACACATGTATTGGGATGCTCAGATAAGATGACGTAACGGTTTTATGAGTGAGTCCTCTCCGTCATTTGATCGCTTTCATCATTTTCACTTCTTCTCATGCAGTGTTTAGCGCTAAGATAAACAGCCAATAAAGTGTGCATTTCCCAAAAGCATCGTTAGCCAACTATAGTCGCAAGTTCCATCATTACCAACATAGTTCAATGATTCTGTGTTTCCCGAAACCATATTTCAAACGAACATTCAAAAACAGTGTCACAAACTTACGTGGTTGGAACTACAGTTCCCCACCTGTGGTTAGATGCATAGTTTCTTGTTATTAAGACATATGGACTTAAATAAATTATGCTCTTGGGCACAATAAGCAAGCTAACATGTAGTACAGTCTATGTCTTCCATTCTATTTAAAGGGGTCATAAGATGCAATTTCTTTGGGGTGTTAAAAGCTGTCTGTGCATACAGAAGACCCGTAAAGTCGCAAAGATTAAAGTCTCAAACCCAAAGAGATATTCTTTATAAAAGTGAACGCTCAACCATGCCTTCCTAAAACGCCTCGTTCAAACATGCCCCCACACATCTACGTCACTGTGTGGGAAGATTTGCATAACACCGCCCAAATGTATATGCAAAGAAAAAAAGGCATAACTTTTATTCTCGCTGTAGTATTGTTGCCGCCGCTGCCGTGTCGTGGAGACGCTGTGTGTTTCGTTGCGAAAGCCAAACTACTTTGTTTTGCCTTCCAATAGAGGACACAACTAGAAATCAGTGCTTAAGTTTTATTTACAACACTGTTCCAGAACAGTGCAACCCAAATATTCGAGTGTGTGCAGCACATTTTATGGGGGAAAGTTTCCAGAACCTGGTAAGGGACGTAACATTTCCGTCACACGCTTGAGGAATTCGGCCAATCACAACGCACTAGATAGCTGGCCAATCAGGGCGCACCGCGCTTTTCAGACCGATGAGCTTTGTAAAAATCGATGCGTTTCAGA